TAATAATAATAATAATAATAATAACAATAATAATATGTAATAACAATAACATACGCATCTGTCCGCTTACTGAGACTAATTGCTGCGACCTACAACAAAGTGTAATCGAAACAAACTCCAAACATAGGATACAAAAAACCCATAAAAACAACAATTGTCAAAGAAAAACAAAAACTTGTGAAGGAGAGTGGGTACCAGAGAGTTTTACAGTATTACCCGTGCTACCGTAAACTCTCGGGCGGGTACCTTTACAAGAAATCAGAAGCCCAAATACAATTTCTTTTTTTTTAAAATTAACACGTGTAAATGATGCCTAACACAAACACAATTAAAATCCTAGGAATTCATGGGGCCTATAGTGTGGACACATTACACACACTATGCCAATAAGAATGCCTAACAAGAGTACATTCAGAATCACGAAGAGTTGCAAATAAAGTCCGTGTAGTGAGTGTGCACGCACTAATACTACCCAGTAGTACCAATTTTTAAAAAATTATACTAACACGAGCACATATAGTCGCTTTTAAGGACAAGCGGGCTAATCCATATTTCGAGGGTTTCCAGATATCTTGAGCAGCATCAAACGTGGGCATTGCGCTACCTATAGGAGAAGTTTGGTTTCATTGGTGTGTATATTTATTTGGTTATATTACAGAGAAAACTCTTCTCGTCTTTTAAAGAAACTGAACATGGGGCAAAAACGTTTCCTTCGATTTTCTCAAAACAGCTCATTTTTCGGGATAGCCCCCTTGTGCTTAACAGAAATCATTTAGAATCACGAGTAGTTGAAAGGAGTCCTTACTGTAGTGTGTGCACACTATGCTACCCAATAGTACAAATTATGCCCAGGTTCTCAAAAGATACCGACCACAAGCACGACATGAAGAATCACGATGAGATATATGGTCGCTTTTAAGCACAAGGAAATCTTGAAGGATGTATTGCGCTGCCAAGAGCGAAATGCTCGCAGCTAAAGGGATTTTAAAACAACAACAACCCCGCTACCCAAGGGAGGCGGTGGCCATGGCGAAGAGCACGCTCTTCGGGGCTCCGAACATTTCGAACGGATAGGCTACCACACAAACACACAACAACAACAAGCACAAGGAGGCAATCCCGAAAAATGCTGTTTTGAGAAAATCGAAGGCAAAGTTTTTGAACCCTTGTTTAGTTTCTTTAAAATACAAGGAGAGTTTTTTTTCTATAACCAAACAAATTATAAACACACCAATGAAACCAAACTTCTCCTACAGGGAGGGCAATGCCCACTTTTGGTGTAGGTCAAGATCTCTGGAAACCCCAGAAATAGACTGGGTTTTTTTTTTCTTTCTTTTTTTTTTTTGTGAGTGTGTATGTGTGTGTGTGTGTGTGTGTGTGTGTGTGTGTGTGTGTGTATGGTGTGTGTGTATGCATGTGTATGTGTGGGTGTGTCTGTGTGTAGTGGTGAGTGTGTAAATGGGTAGTGAGGAGTGTGTGTTTGTTTGTTTTTTGGGCGAAATAGACTGGGTTAGCCTAGCCCAGTTCTAAAACATTGCCGACCACAAGGACGTGGAGAATCACGATGAGTTATTATATATTATATTATGGAGTCTGTTGTGTGTACACAAAAGAGTGTTTACAGTCAGGTGAACACACATGTGGGTGGTTGGCGGTTGGTCTGGCAAGGTTTGCTCTTACTTTCCTATCATATTTCTCCCTGCTCTTTCTTTCCTGTCAAACATTTATACCTCCCCTTCTTTTTCGTGCTAGTTAGTCTCTTGTAACACCCCTAACCTTCGGCGCTTATATAAACCATAGTACTGTGTTCCATTACAAGTTTACAAGTGCCGTAAAACTCTCACTAAAACTAAACTGTGTGCACAGACCAACGCTTCCAAATACAAACGTAGACGTTTTAATGAAGCCTAACACGAGCACGTTCAGAATCACGAGGAGTTAAATGGAGTCGTCCAAGTAGAAGACCTAGTTAAAACTGTGTACACACCACACAAGTCAAGATACTGCTGAGTCATATCTCTCACCCAGGCACGGTCGTCGCTCGACGGTTGACCGTCTCCTTATCAGGTCAACGCAGGACGGAGAAAGAAAGCCCTGTTTGGTAACCACCGATACAGTAGTAACTGTTGCTGCAACTCTCGTAACCTTAGAGTGGCTTACAGACAGTACAGGGCGTCATAATTTTATATAACCAACGACAACGATAAACGTCTTTGAAAGCTGTCACCTGTAGTAAGAGGTCTACGACACTTGCAACACAAACAGGTTGTATAAGTGCCGACGATCAGGTGGTGCAAGAGAGTAACATACAAAGAAAAGACGTTACGTTTATTATAAAACCTATACCAAAGATTCTGTACTATATGTACTTTACTGTAGTGAAGAATCTGTGGTTATACGGCACTCGCAACACACAAAAAAGTTGCACGGGAGCCGACGATTAGAGGTGTCGCCAGAGAGTAACATTCAAAGAAAAGACTTTATAATTTTTATTAAGAGTTATACGGCACTCGCAACACAAACAGATTGTATAGTTGCCGAAGGCAAAGGGTGTTAAGTGTGAGAGTAACATTTATAATTAAAAAAAAAGACTTTAACTGTACTTTTATTAAGAGTTTTACGGCACTAGCAACACAAAATAGGTCACGACAGCACCGACGGTTAGAGGTACGGCTAGATACATGTAGTAACATAATATATAGGCCTACATAAAAGGAGGATTGAGAGATGATGTTTGATATAGCAGAAAGAACAAATCACGCCAGAGCACCCGCCAACCCCCATAGTCACAATTAAAAAACATGTCCTGAAAATAAAAAGGGAACAGACAATAATAATACAGAGGCCACCAATATGCCACTAATTATTATTGTTATTGTTGTAGTGTACTCTGTCCACACAATACTATGTGCGTTAAAAATGGTAAGTCAACCAGTTGAATTGATGTAACTTTCTACTTCAACCTTTTTATCCCCCCCCCC